TGGATCCACCTCCACCCTTTTAAATATCCTCTTAACAATACTCCGCTTCCTGATAGCCGGCTATATCTCTTATGGCCTCTCAAATAACTTTAATTACTGATTAGGATTCCTTGTTCACAAAGCAGCTACTTAAAAGTAATTGCTCAATAAAGAGAGGGGAAGTTGTCGTATTAAGTAGGTGTTCCTGCTGCTTCTCTCATTAGTGCTCACTTGGAGCTTTTCAACTCCCCCGTCACAAATGGAGTCGGCTTCATTCACAGCACAGAAGCCGTTCTCACACTGCCTCGTTCACGCGGCTCTAAATCACCGCGCCGAACAGAGAGTGCTTAACAGTTCGAGCTGGTGTTGATTTTGAGTTATTAGAAATAGCCGCCACTGAGACCCGGGATTCGATCTCCAGTGGTGGTACGGCTGGCTCTGTCTCATTTCTCAATAAACTGTCAGTTGAGTTGAAAGGTGGGGAGTCAGTGGGGAGCTCATGAGCCTGACTTATCAATGAGGTTCCTCATTTTCAGTTTCTATACTGATCTTCACAATTTCAACATTCAACAGATTTTTGTCAGACATTTTGTCACTCTTTCACTGAGGTTGACTCTAAATAAGGTTCTTGTTTTATGAGCAGGTTTAGAAATTGTATTGGGCATAAAAAGGAGAGACTCTAAATATTTTTTTAGGTGTGAAAGAAAGTTTCAATGGTTGTTTGTCTGTGTATGTGGCCCCTGTGATGCACTGGTGACCTGTCCAGGGTGTAGCCTGCCTCTCGCCCAATGTCAGCTGGGATTGGCTCCAGCTCCCCCAGCGACCCTTAAAGGATAAGTAGTAGACGATGCATGGATGAATGGATAAAATGTGACCGAATTTGAATTTGAGAGATTTAAAACCGAGTTGACTTAAATTCATATGATCTGTGTTTGCACAGCAATATATTAAGCACACATTTTAATATGTAGATTTTATTACATTGAAAATATCATGTTTAAGAAAGTTGTGTATTTGCTTTAACATGGAACCCAACTGTCTGTTGTCACTCTCTTTTTTTAAAGCAGTAAGTCATTCTGAACCCATTGCTTAAATGTCACTAATACAAATCAAAATTCCAGCCCCCGCTCTTTATATTGATACTAGCTGCAAACACAGTATGAATATTTTGTGCACATGTTGCTGTATCAATTTAAAGCTTGTATCTAACCAGAATTTCCAATTCACACACACAGGCTACATGATATCTTTCAAAGGAGTCAAAAAATATGAATAATACATTTTCTAATAATTTAGAATATTTAAAATATTTAACTGTCAGTCAGTGTTAAATATTTAACTCGGAATAAGGAGTTGTGGTCGTCCCATGCTGTCCTATGTCATAATAATCATTCAGAATGACTTGCAAAATATTGTTTACATGACTTCGATTCACTGTTAATAGAGAGCAATGCAGTTCTTTTGCATTTACAGGAGGTATACACACCAATACAATTTGAGGTAAATGACTTAATTGTTTGATTTTCAGATGCTTGAAAAAGATAAAGTAAATAATTCCTGACAATGACTGATACATTTGAGCTCAGGATAACTGAGTACATACAGACTGACATTCAAGCATTTTTACCACATCAACTTAGATATTTTTCAGTATTTAAAACACACCTTTAGTTTGGACTTTTTCCTCACCGACATGTTAAACTGCTCAGTTGTTTGTGTATATGTAATCATTGTCAGTTCTGTCAACACCTTTTACTTTGAAGACTCTGTAAATCAATATATATTAAAAATATGGCCACTTGTATGCAGGTGATGTGAAACCAACTGGCACCAGCTTTATGAGATGTTATTGATGCAGTAACATGGTAAGAAGTGTAGCTATGCTCTCACAACAGTGATGAAGAAGAAGACTGAACATTTAAACAATGCAGAACATTCATAAAATCTTTGCAAATGGTTTATGAGGACGTAAATGCGATCAGCGTGTTTGTTTGACGTCAGTGTTTGTTCACAGTGTTTTAAAGGAAACACTTGATGTAAAGGCGCCTTTAAACCTTTAATTTGCAACTTTAACTGTTTTTTACTGTGTTATAATTGTTCTGCAGTGGTTATGAAAATGTTTTATTACATATCTCCAGTGTGAGCGTTGAAAAGGTGTTTTGTAACTACTCCTCGGCTCCGGTGAATTGAGTTGTACAGAGAGGTTCCTGTTTTTTTAGCGTTTTTTGCTAAAGATCATCTGGTCACAAGTGGCATTTTTTCAAAGTACATACAATTATTTTCATAGAAGAATGTTAAATTACATCAACATTGTAAGCTATGACATGACACGTCACTTCTATTAAATTACCTCGCTGACCCTGAATCAGCCACAAACAACTTCAAGGTTGAGTGCAGTCATGTATTAGAGAAAATTATTTGGCTTTGAAGGACTTTGGAAATATACAAACACCACAAATTATTTGGTTTTACATTAGCACATTGACACATTTCAATTCTAAACGACTAGCGTGATGACAGATAGCAGGAAAATAAGGCTGACTCTGAGGGAAAATTACCAGAAAGATCCCTTCAGCGAAGATGCTTAATGACCCCTGTCCCCGCTCCAAGTCTTGCTTTCCACTGTTCCACATACAGAACTCTAAGACCTTTTCAATAAAACATGCATCTCTGAAATATTTACAACTCTTGTGTTTCCTGAAATGATAAATCCAAAACATCTTTGATGTTCGAGAGAAATGTACATGAAACTTAATGTTTTAATTCTCTGTAAGCCACAAGTTACAAGTGAGTTATATTCTGGCAAAAAGGATCTATGCTGGAGCGGGAGGGGAGGAGGGTGGCCGGGCCAGAGCCTTGTTGTCGAGCAGCATGTTTTATTTTCTCTCCCAGAGGTTTAGAGGAGCTGTTACACTGGAGTTTTAGCGGAGGTCATAAGGTTATTATATAAACAATTCACATGGAGGCCCTCAAGCACCCAGAGGGAATGTTTAATGCAATGCTCACAATTTCTGCATTGTTGTAAAGCTCAAGGCGCATACGTGTCCAGTTTTAACCGTGCAGCATTATCTTTCTCTTCACTTTTTCTTCTTTCGGCTGTTTTGTCGAACAGCGGCTGAAAGCCATGCTTAATTAATTTGGTCAGCTGCCTTGGATAAACTACATTGATGACATCAATTAGATTCTAATGAAAACAGATAAAAGCCATGGAAAGCAAATGGAATTTCTTAACAGGACTCATCAAAGTCTTAGCATTGGAACAAATTCCCATTACATCTCATGAAAGCCTTTAATTTGCAAAGCTCATGTCTGGTTTGGTACTTAGAAGTACATGGTCAAATGATTCGGTCTTAAGTCCTGTGCCGTAAGAAGCCAAATCAGAATTTAATTTGGCATGTAACTCCTTATCCTGTCTGAAACATGTGGTGGGATGCAATCCTTGGATTAGCATGGACTTTAGAACTACACATTTAGCTTGTTTCTCCCTTTCTGGCAGAGCAGACACCTAGTCTACCCCATTTGTAACACACATTAACATTTCCAATTTCAGTGGAAAAAAACACATGCTTACTTCAGATTGGTACTTCTTAGGTACCCAAATTGCTGCAAATTATGTGTCAGTCATTGACATGAGTTGAAGCGGGTCCATTTATTTCTCTTTCACTTTCTTACTCCCCTTTGTAAAACAGAAAAAGAGAATACAGACTTTTTCCATTGACTGATATGATTTTACAGTTCACACCGATTTTGAAATACAAATTATGATGAATTGCTCTATTATAAAGTCCTTTTTTTTGCACCAGTTCCTAATGATTATAATTTTCCAGAATGTTGGACAGATACTGGCTTCACAACATCTTTCAAACCAGTAAAAAACAACTCAGATTAAGGAGTCCTGGTTGCAAAATAATGAGCAGGTTGTGTTTGAATGATATCACGTGCAACACTGTCCTATTGCATTTAACTAGTTGTTGTAGTTAAACAGCTCAATTAAAAATGTATATACAGTTCAAACAGAATGGGGAAAGTTAAGCAGAATAATTCTTAAACTCAAATCTAATTACTTATTTTTGGGCATTTGCATAAACAGAAACAAGCTAGAAAGCGTTCTAGAATCATGTTTGTGGTCAACTGACCAATGTGAGCCCAATATTTACTCTGCTGTTACCTTTGTGAGAAATATCTCTCTGATCCACAGCTAAACACTTTGCAATGTTAGCAGGTCGCCAAAGTTTGGTGCCGAATATGTTATTTCCAGTTGGTTTTTAGAACTTTTACGCTAAAAGCAGCTGCAGCCCAAAGTGAAACAAATGAGAACAGTGAGTGGATTCCTCACCGTTTCCCTTTTACATTTTACACACTCAAAAATAAAATTTTGATTATCACAGCTTCATCTTATGTTTTTTCCTAAAATATAAGCATTTGTGGCTAATGTCGCTAAGTCACACTTCAAGTAACACTTTACTATCACAATTGTGTAGCTTCTATTTACAAAGGTCAGAAGGTTGACAATAAAGTGCTAAGTAAATTTTACTCTGTCTCAATGCACGTGCTGATGACCCTTCAACTATTACCATGACAATTGATAAAACATATGACAGTAAGGTCATTTGTATGTAATATATTTTACTTATTTATGTTTTATCTATGGACGCTCTTGCACTGGGACGTGTGCATGAAAATCATTCCACCGTCAGTTACATCCATCCATATATATGGAGTCAAAGTAGCCTTAGTAACTAAATTTATCATGAAGTAAATCCAGTAAAGTTTTTAGTGTTTCATAAAACTGTCTTTTTTTAATGTGTGTATGTAACTTTTTCTTTTCTGCACTTGCACTAGTTATTGAAAATATAAATTAAATGATAAAAAAGAACTCATATTCGGTATTCATTAAATTCATTGGTGTCTGTTCTTCAGAATTGTGACAGTTTAAATGCAGAAAAAAGGGGAAGTATTTAATAAGCATTTTTTTTTGTTTCTCTTGCTGTGTGTGTGTCTCTCTATCTGTCTCTGAGCAGACTATCCTCCCCCTCCACCACCTGCCGAAGAATCAACCGGTTTCCACTCATCCCCTGGTTCCTTACCCCCGCCACCGATGAACTCCTATGATTATCAGGTGAGCGAGGCTGGTATAGCGTTCCATTTTCTTGAATGTCAGTAACTCTCTAAGAGTCATTGCAGAAAGAAAAGACAGCCCTGAGCTCCACTCTGAGTTCATGTACCGAGTCCAGAAAAACTGTCCATTTGAGTTGCAGCCAACTGCAGAGACGTATAGCTCCAGATGCAGCCTGGAGCCAGCCATCCTAACTTCAGGACCCACACACAAACACACTTTCTTCAGTTTCTGAGAGCTGTAATGCAGGAAGGATAGAAGGCTGACACCTATTGGCAGAGCCTTGTCACTTTTCTTTGCTTTGCTGGTCAAAAATACCCACAGGCATTTGGCCCTGTCGGGATATCTGGCCTCTGTGATCCGACTGACACTCTCAGCACTTGACCTCTGCTGTGAAATCCTCCAAGTGCTTCACATTCCTTTGTTCAGTGTAAGCAGGAAGAAAAAAAAAACCTCCCTTCCCAGGTCCCTCATTTGATCCAACCAGTTTATGTCCTAAATGAATGCTTCTTTTGTAAGTTTGCAGACAGACAGTTACATAATTACAATAAGTTATGCAATGTGTGTAAATGCGACTCTCTTCCCACACAAACTGTATATATAGACAGTATAGGACCGTACCCCTGAGATTTGGATGTACATGACCATTCATGTGGGCTTATGACGTTAATGTAAACCATAGGCCTCTCATAGCTAAAGAGTTGTTGTAGAAGGTGCAGTATAGTAACAGTTACAGTTCTAAGTGTCATGGTGTGGTTTGGCCAGGGGTTTGTCTTATCAACAGGAGTGGTGTCCCTTAGTATTCAGGTGGAGCACAAGGACAGGGGCTCTGTCTTGGTGATTTCAGCTTACAATGTAAAGTGCACAGAGAGGATGCATTCAGTGCTGGAACTAGCAAAGACAATTGCTTAGCTCTTGGTGCCACTTTGTGCTTCTTTATGTCGCATGTGCCCCAGGACACATTAGTAAAGTAAAATTATGCCTTGAAAACAAAATGTACTTTTCACAAATCTAATTTTGCAAATCATTAGATCCTCAAACTTCCTCAGACATCATTTCTTTCATTGATCATTTAATGAAATCACAAATAATTTTTTAATGAAATTATCATTGTTTACTATGGACTCACAGTCTCTTTGTAGTTATAATACAAGGGCCATTACCAATACTGAATACTGACGCTCCCAAGTCAGTTATATATATATACACACACACACACACACACCTAAACTCCCAAGTTTAATTAAAATGTCATTAAAATTAAATATATTTAGCTGTTGTGCATCAGTTTGTGCAGGTCTTCATATCTGGCCCTTGATCCAGCCATTTATAAATTCCAGACTTTATTGTTCTTAGTTGTGCAAATTTACAAATACAATATTGTGGTCCCCTTTGGCATTTTTTAACTACACATCTTTGAATAAAGAAAGCTTTTAAAATAATATCTGTGTTCATCTCACTTAATCAGAGTCATTGTCTGAGTGTGAGATGATTATAGTAAAGGAACCAGGTAACACAGGTAAACTCCATCAAACGGCCTTTAGTGTCTCCATGCACAGTACTGTATAAATGTTTTACATTCTTAGTTGACGCTAAATACCAGTTCCTTTGTTTAATTTAAATATATATATTACTCTCCAGTGAAATATGTATCTATGCGTTTTCTGGTTTTGAAATTTCCCACTTAAAAGAGCATTACATGTTTATTCATGAGTTGAGGAAATTACTCTACTTCTTTAAATATAATTTCCCATCCTCCTTCAAATAAAGGATTATTTTGGTCATTGGTCTCTATACCCTCAGATCCTCATAATCAACTTGGTTAGGTTTAGGGTAAAATAATGGTGTTGTGTAAAACAAAAGACACCTTTGGTGTCATTGTACTAAACATCTGGTTAAGCCTATAGAATGATTATGATCATGGTAAAAGGAAAGCATGCTCCATTCACCTCGACCTCCTCCCTACACAGGCTTTGTTGATACCAGACATAATTGTATTACTTGCATCCTTCCCTTTTTGATGGGAGACGGATTGTTAACAGATTTACATTGTGACAGCCCGCCTCTCTCTGAGACTCGCCAGCCCTTACCAAAATGACACTACACTGTTGCACGGTGCACAATCTCTTTAACAGGCATGATCAGGGAAGTTTAAGACAATGTGTGGTTGGTTAAGTCCATCCTGCACCCAGTCCATCTCTCCCTGCTTCCTGATGCGTCACTGAAATACCAAATGCACACAATCACGCTCCCTGTGCCATGGCGCACGAAAATAGGTCCATATTTTTTTATGGACTAGTAATTGCAAATGTTTCCACAGCAGTGTGTCTTCAGAATCAGTGCAGACAGTGCGTGTATCATAATAGAGGCTACATCATGTGATTAAGTGAAACGTTTCATCTCTCATCCAAGAGGCTTCTTCAGTTCAGTTCGACAGGTCTTGTTAGTAAAGACCAGATTCATATCTCGTGGCCACGAGTTATCTTCTTCCAGACTTAATAAGCCGTGGCCACAACAGTTAAAGGGCTGGGAATTTAACTAAATCCAGCCTTCTAAAGTGTAATATGTTACCAGATCATCACCAGTAGAGGTGGACTGGATTGTTCATGTGGGTGCGCGTCTCTAAATCTAATCTAAAATAAAGAAAATAATTCCTTTTGGTGGGTGATGGGCAGATGAGTCAATGATATACATACAGATCTGAATGTCGTCAGAACCGATCCGTGCATCTCTAATATATACATATTGGCTGATGTATTGGTATACAAAATGTTTACGTTCATTGGCATTGGCCCCAGACATCCATATCGGTCGGGCTCCACAAATAACTTGTGTTTTTTTTAACAAGTGTCTGATGCTCAGGTACAATAGTACAATGCAACCGCTTTTGTCTGCTTTCATTCCTCCTGGCTGCACTTTGCCTTTCAGAAAAAGAAGTAGACATCAATTAAAATGTCTGTAAGTCTTTTTGAATGCTCCTAAGTAGAGAAATTATACACAGTGACTGAGTAAATCAGCGACTAAATGAAGGCAGAAATACTCTCTTGTCTTTATCGCCCTCCCTGACAGAGAAGTCTGGATTATGACACCTTCATGCTGAAAGCTTGAGCAAGAGAAAGAAAGACAAAAGCAGTTAGCGCTCATCAAGGCTGTTGTCCACATTACGAAGGCCTGCACGGTGAATTCCAGCACATCACAAAGACTGCACAGTTCCCTTTCATCCTCCTCGTTATCACTGTTAAACAAGTTTGCCTGTTTTTCTTTTGTTGATTTGAGACAAGCCATTAGTGTTTTGCTTTGTTTACCCCCGCTCATGATTGCCTTAGATGTTTTTTAAGCAGCAGCTTGGCTTCGAATGGAGGCAGATCCTTGCCTGTAATAGATTGTGACAGGTAATCCAAACACATAACATTAGAATAAGAAGCAGTCACTGATCCAGCCAACTCAAAAAGCCCCCGCAGGCAATTGCAAGAAGTCTTCTTGCCGTTGCAGCATAGTTCAGAAGACTAAAAATATAACTGTCATTCCACAGAGAAATTCCCGGGAATTCTATAGAAAACCCAGCGCCTCTAACGGTCAGATCATTTAAACTCCTTTCCACAATTTTTTGCGCAACAGCCTTGTTTTTCTTTTCGCTCGAGGTTTGTTGAAGTTGTGCTTTCTCTGTGGTGAAATGCAGATAAATAAACCAGTGAGGTCTCAGAGAGCTGGAGTGATCCTGTAACTGGTGATGTTGAGCTTCCTCTGGTAATAAATTAGTTAGATAAAAGTAAGAGCATCTCTTGTGATCACATTTTTAACAATAAGGAATACAAAAAATCTACCTTTTTGTTCGAAATGTTGCTGTTTGAGATTGCGATGAATAAAACATGAAGAATGAGATACTGTAAATCCAAATGCAGTGAGAAGCAGGAGGTGAATAGTGCACTGTGTTATGAAAGTTGTCTCACAGACAATACATCACTTGTTATTTCTCAGCGCATATGTCTGAGAGAAAAGTCTCTGCTATTGATGTGTGGCTTTCAAAAGGATTGTCTGAGGTCAAGGTGAAACATGCACTTCGAAGCAGTAATCCATGGTTTAAGGCATGGGGAGGGGGGGGAGTGAAAAACGTGTCACTGATGAATGTCTGCCCTCAACTTTCGAGTGCAGCTGGTTTGGTAACCAAGCATTGTTACAGACAGGTTTGGTTTAAGTTCATTCAGTGGGTAATTTCACTATGTTTTTGTGATGATTCCTCACAGATGAAGGGACCAGAGAAGACACTGGAGGAGAGACGCTCCAGTCTGGATGCTGAGATCGACTCCCTCACCAGTATCCTGGCAGACCTGGAGAGCAGCTCGCCCTACAAGCCGCGGAGCGCACAAGTATGACCACCAACGACACAACCTCATACCAGTACACACAAATGTCAATAGGGTTATTTTATCTTGGGCTCGAAACCTCAAAAGACTGCGTTACAAGCTGCGTGTGTAATTTGACAGAGGCGTTGTTGATATAGCAAGGGAGGGTCTGATGACAGATCATAGCTGTCAATATTGTTACCAAAAATATTTGGCTTCTGACCTCTAACAAAAGTCAGGGTTGATTCTCATGTCTCAGATTTTACCATGGACCGTTTTTCTCTCTGAACTCAGATATTTCATTTAGATATTTCCCAAGGAGGTTGTATTATCCAGTTCCTCACACAAAAATCTGAAATATAATAAAACTTTGCACCTTGTGAACATTTGGATAGAGCCTGGGAACCACATGACTAAACTACCTTCATTTAATCAATATTATTTAAACTAGCACTTTCTCAACCTGTAACAATAGTAAGATGCTTCTTTTAAATACAAATATTAGTCAGAACACTGTCTCTATGTTGCACATATCAGTTACATATGCCTACACTTTAAATCCCTTGTTCACAAAACCTTTAGTTTAGCACAGTAACATGAAAGTTAAGATTTGTCACATGACTCTCACTGGGAATTTTGTCAGATCAACAATTTTTTTTGACAACAAAAAAAAGTGTGCTTTTGGATTCAGTTCAACGTCGTCATGTTATGACATAAAATTACCAGGTCGGGGAGTTTTTGTTATGTTTATTGAACATAATATGAATGATGACTTATAACTGTCATTTTATGTACAAACTATTATTATTTTGTATTTCTTAAGTCAAACTAATATATTGTTTTAGTCTCAGTGTCCCAGTTGGCTCAATCTACTCAGAAATGGATTAAAATGCACACAAACCTTTCCAGTAAATTTAAAATTGTACAACCTTTACATTTAACATTGCTTTCACACATTTTATCTAAAGTCAATGAACAAGAAAATATAGACAATAAATATTCATCAACCTTATAAATTGCACTAAAATGTATCCAGAAATTTAAAAATAGCTGACTTAACTTTAAAATTGTGTCAAGGGCACAAGGGACACGTCTTTGTGTCAGGCGAACATAAAGTTTTATGTCATTTTGTCTGTCAAGAACATTTGTGTGAACTTAACTATAAAATGTTATTTCATTGAGGATTTCAATGCCTCTGTCCTTTCAGTTAAGTAGGATTTTACATTTTACATGTGAAAGTATTCTTCTTTTTTGTTCTACTTTGTGCTGTGTGCTTCTTGAACTTAGTGTGATGATTGACACAGCTATTAAAATAAAATGTTAGGAAATTAAAGACTCTGGAAGTCAAGCGAAAAATCACGAGGAATAGTTATTGTAAATATTTGAAAATATCTACTAAGATAACTGGGGTTCCTGCAGGACCCACATGTTGCATCTTTTAAAAGAATGTTTTGACAAAATGAGCCTCGACCTATATCATTAGTTGATATTAAACGATATTAGGAGCAACTTCAAAAAGTCAAAGCCTTGGGCAGTTTGCTAAATTGTTTGACACACAATGAATGTAGGACAGACACATGAAAAAACTCAAACCAATTGTGTTTGGAGTAGAAAGGCTCAGAGCGACTGCGAACACTGTGAAGATGGTATCTCTGGTGAGATATTCAAGCAATAACATAATACGTGAAAAAGTCTTCAATAGACACGATTGAGATGTGGCATCACCAGTGCACTGTATTTTCATTTAACTTTAAAACCTTGGGTTTGTGTTGTTACCATGTTGACTGTTTGCTTTATTAAATGATATATAAAATAAAACTGAAAACTGGGTTAAAATAATAAGTTATTGACAGAGGTATTCAATTAGCAACAGGTGAAGGACTGTGCCCCTAAACAAGATGTACATACTCTATTTACATTAAGTGAACTATTGAGTTGGTTCGTATCAGATTAGATAGGGCCATATTTAAGGAACAAAATTGTTAGATTTCAAGATGAATGTCGAACTATTACAAGAACAAAGCTGTAATTGAGAAAAATATCGTAATATAACTGAAATAAAGAAAAATAAAGGACTAAGCAGCAAGGAGAACCCACGCTCGCCAGAGTTCTGGATCCATTCTCCTTGTTTCCTGAGAAATTACAAAAGACCAATTACTCCTCCAGAAACCAGGAAATTTTCTCAAAGTCTGTGTTGTTCTTTCTTCAGAATCCTTACTCTTATGAAAATGTGCTGATGTAACCACAAAATATTTCCTAGGAAGTATTTCATTATGTGCAAAATCTGTACTTAAGTATGACTTATCAATATTTTCCACATTGCTCATTTTAACACAAGTGACTACTTCTGGTATTTACCGTCTGAAGTGAAACATTCCCTAAAATTATGACTTTCACTCTTGTAAAACACGTACTACAACTTTTTCCTCAAATGCTCTTCTTTTTTTGTCAGTGTCCCTAATACTTTGTTAGATTGTGTTAGATAGTTATTTAATGTGGGGTTAGAATAATGTTGATAGCAGTTCAGTGAAAGTGCTCAACATTTTTATATGTGAGACATGCAAAATGTTACGGTTGTTAAAAATAACATTTTTTTGAATTGAAAGACAAATACAGCCGGGTTCACAAGTTGAGTGAGAAACATGGTATTTTGGGTGAATTGTTCAGTGTGAGGAAGACAAACAGAAAGAGTGACGGCTGTAAGTCCTGGTTTTCTGACACACAAAGTGAAAATGATTGCACCACAAAGGGGAAACATACACTGTGGCTCTGAAATGATACACATTAAGGGCAATAAGTAAAATACGACTTGATGATTGTGTTTCTGGGTGCTGATCTTACTATAATAACATGACATTATGTGGTCATGAAATATGTCGAAGTGGTTCAATCAAATATATATATATATATTTATAAAAAATAGCCTGTTTGGTAGATTTAACCTGCAGTCTGTGTGGATCATGGGTCTACAGGTGTCTGTACAGGTTTACCATAGACGCTGTCACACCTGGTATCAACATCCGTCCTGAGTGGTCGGAACACGAGTGGTCAGCTCTAAGTACAGTTCTGAACACACCCCACTTTCAGAGGTGGTGTGGGATGCATGTGGCCTCGTTGTTTTTGCTGCGTGAACACAAATCCACCCTGGGCCACGTACTCAGCTGACATCCTCTGACCCACTACAGTTTTAATAAAGACATACATTGATTTGTTTGTAGCGACCACCACAATCAACACTGATCACCAACACTTTAATTAAATCGGTAAAATCTTTCTCTATAGCAGCATACTTTCATTCATTCAGTCCCTCTTCACTCTTGCTCTCTTTCTCTCTATCTCTCTCTCCCGCTCACACCGACACACATGCACACAAACATTGTTATTGGACACATCTGTAAACTTCACTGAGTATTAACAATACCATTTGCTCTTAGCGAACAGAAATGAGGAAAGTGTTTGTTTGCATACAGAGCTGGGAGATCTGATCCCGATTGGTCACAGGGGCGATGTTAGTACCAGGTGTGAACAGAGCATACGATAGCGCTCTGTAAGGTAAAGCTCAGGGCCACAGGTTACTGTGACGGCTCAGGCTCTCAGTGTCATTACTCATAGCTGAACGTGTTTCAATGTGAAGAGCTGTTTGCACTCAGAGCAAATGAAGTGACAGAATGTTCAATGTAAACGTGTTTGCTTTCTTTACTCCCCCCCCCCTCTGTGTACACATACTGGAAAAAGCACTGATGGCCACACGTGCACAATTCTTTTCAGGATGTGGAGCCAGCAGCTCTGAAATGTGTGGCATTTTTTCCTAAATAAAATATAGCATGAGTGCATACGTTTGTTTGGTAAAAAAAACAAAACACTTATGTATTAGTACAGTAGTCTGAAAGCTTTCGTCAACAGGACTTGAAAAATTGATGTGCACCTGTACAGCTCGGTGAGAGCCCAGCTTTTTTCGAATGAGCGGGCGAACAGTCACACTAAGTAATGTATGGATGCCACAGTGGTTTTACCTGTCAGGGTCAAAGTGGCATCACGTTTATTTTTATCTTAACCTGCTTCATGCTTTTGGAGTTATGGGTGAGAAGCCATGTCACCTGTGTCACAGCAGAGTACACATAGGTGGTGTGACATGTATAAATCATGAAATGCTATGTATCAGACATTTTGTTGACTTAACCCAGTGGAAGACAGCACCTCTGTGCCTCTTCCATGCCCCTCTGTGGTTTCTGTGTCTTCTCGCAGAGACTCCTTGCACATGGAAAACATTTCAGTTTAATTGTTTGTATTTTAGCACCAGGAGCATATGCATTTACACACGCGCACACACGCACACACATTCTTCAGCTGATGCTGATTCTACCTGATTAACTCAGGTTGACCTTTTCCTCTACGCAGCTGCTCCTGTCAGTCCGTGCTCTCTTTCTTTCAATGCATTATTCTACAGCGTAACACTGGTCTGTGTGTGTGTGTGTGTGTGTGTGGTCCAGGTTTCAAGCTCCAGCATTGGCACAACTGCCACACAGTAATCTTCCGCTTGTATAAGCAAAGAGTAACGAGCACTCTTGATTTACAGCTCTCTGCGCACAAGCAATTACAGAGCCAGCTCTCCAAAATCAATAGGCCACCCCGCGCTCTCCCTTTCAAGCGTCTGGGAGAAGAATCTTCCCCCTGACGTTAAATTTGGAATCAGCGAGGGGACCTTATGTGCGCTCGCCTCCCAGATGAAATCGAAATGGACGTCGCTGCTCATTCATAAAAATCTAAGTAGCATTCCTGCAAACGTTCAGCCGGCACTGATGCTTCACAGACATCAAAACAATTTTGTTTGCTTTAGTTGGTATTCTCTGTGGCATAACAGTGGGTAATGAAATGTGATCATTATATAATTCCCATTTGTTTTCTCTCCACTTCCATCTTAGATGTCATTTGTTGTTTGACACAGTTAACTAAGTTTGTGTTACAGTTTGTTTGCTTTATCCTGCAACAGCAGAAATTAAGCCAAACCTGATAACGATGTTTGA